TACAGAATGCTATACAGAGGAAGGTGAATGACAGACTGAAGGTGTGTGTGTGGGTATGGCACAGAAGAATGATGTTTAGTATTTTTGTAGGAATTTATAAGATGGGTGAAACTTGAAATTAGGGATATTTGTGGTAGAGGATACAAAAGCTTGCTTTGAGAAAAGACATGGCAATGTTTAGGAGATAAAGAATCAATTTAAGTTTCTTCAAAGTGTTGAACCATCAAAGGTAAAGGAAGAGTGCCTGTGTTCTGGGGGTGATATCAGCCTAATTGGATAGATGTCAATCAACAGCTGTATCTGATATACTGTGTAATAATTTAGATCTCAGAAAAATTCTCTTAAAGAACCCCTGAAGGAACTAGACTTTTAATTTGCCTTTGGGTATATGGCTGATATTTGGTGGCATCTGTCTACATATCTTGTTCTCTGCTATACACCATCTACGATGAAGCCTATTAACTTGTCACTAAGACAGAGTGAAAATGAACTTAGGAAATAAGCGATTCCAGAGAAAGGAACATACTATCAACATTCCTCTTGAGTACTTTTCAGTTTACAAATTATTTTAACGTATCTATTTCCGAAATCTGGAATACAGGCAAAACAAAGTCTTCAATTATAAGGTTAAATACAGATTTATGAACAGAAAACACAACTGTTTGTGTCCTAATGGAAAATCGAGACAGCACTGGGGGAACAGGGTTTTATTACACTAGGAAGTAATACTAGAAAAGGCTGAGGGACAGACGATCAGGCTCAGAAGCTTAGGAAAGATTAATATAAAATCCTTTTTAGCTTCCAGTCCAATCAGTCTTCTCGGGAAGGTAAAGTTGGATAGGAAAACAGGCAAGAAGTCAATAGGGGTGGGAGGAGAGGAGGCGGGACACCGGGGATGGAAAACAAACAAACAAACAAAAAACAAAACGAAAGGTAGAAAAAAAAGACTGTGTGTTACTTTTCTCCGAACACTCACCCAGCAAGGTTCCGATAACTCGGGCAGCACCCTCGTTGCGTCGCTCATAGCTGTCCACGATGGAGGCCAAAATGACCGGGTGCAGCCTGACCACGCGGCCGCCGGGGAAGGGTCCTGGAAGCGCCGGACCTTGCAGCGCGGGTGCCGGGGTCTGCGCTGG